TTTTTCTGTGCGTGATTGGTTGAGCCAGACGCTAGCAAAAAGCACAGATCGTCGTGACGAAGCACTCTTGACGATGCCTGATTGTCTCCGTTGGATTATAGCGTGGGCAGTGGTCGGACTTAATATAAAACGGAGCATCTACGTGGCTTGCACTGAGGTCACATCGCATACTTTTGACCATGTAAGAGGAGGACAGGGAAGCTGCTTTTGTACGAATTTTGAGTGACGAGGTTTATCTTCTATAATCTTCTGGGAGGAGAATAGGGACGGTCTATGGAAATCTGGGAGGCACAAAGGAGGATCCTGGTAAGAGAGGAGCTCCTTCTCCCCCTCTTCTCTGGTGATCATCGGAGCGGTCTTTGAATGGCGACACCTGGAAGTCATCTATAGACCATTCCATTTAGCGCTCTCTGGGCGGCACCATTTTGTTCGACAGCAGCGCCCTCTCCATACATCCACGAAATTCAGCGGGCTCGGTGGGGTAAAACGAGAGAGAGGGCACGCGCCCGACTTCGCTAGCAGACGACAAAGCGGGAGGTTGCCATTCTCCATCTTTGGGCTAAATCGGCGGGCTGTACGGAACATCGAACTCTCACTCGTGGCTGCCGTTATGAAGTGGTTCGCGTTCTTAGAATAGTTATGGCTACTCCAAAATCAGCCTAGAGCTCTCTGTTGTTCTACTTCGGTAAATGATCAACTGATATATCTTTTTTCCGTTACTTAAATAGCAGTTGAGTCAGCCGGCAGTACTACCCTCAACTACTGCGTGTATTGCGGCAGGAGAGCATGCTTTTATTTATTATTTGAGACATCCACTCATGGTCGCTAAAGGCCTACACCAGTGCGAACTTTGTATAGTAAAAAAGGTGCAGCCACCGGATTCACTTTTCGCCGGAGAGACCGGCCAGTCTGACACAGTTTTCCCTATATTTTTATTTTTTTATTTGCACGCAGATAACAGCGCAATTGGACTCTGTTGCTCTTTTTTATCTAGCATAGTAATACACGATAACTGGCATACCAAAATCTGCGCATCTGCACTTGAAATTCCCAAAATGACGCGATTTTAAACAGAGTTTGTACGCCAGCCGGATGCTAGGTACGGCCCACTCGGCGGAGCAGTCGAGATGCGGGTGAGAGGGGGAGGGCGTTTCTTCTCGTTTTACCCCCTCTGCTATGACCCTAATGGAACGGTAGCCCCGAGAAGTTCGCGTGGCGCCCCCTTACGGCGAACCGGGGTGACGTCACGGCGAGGAGAGATTTTTCCCCGGCTCGCCTCGCTCGCCCTGTGGAGGCTGTGACGACGCTAGCTGACGGCGCGCTTGTTTCTATTTAATTTTTTTTGGCATGTTTTTCGTGGGAACTGTAAATTTTTATATGTTTCTTTATTGAGGTATGTCCTGTAGCTACAGGCGAAACTTCAACCAACACTTTAAGCATGGTTGACAGGGCAGGCAACGCATGAATGACAGCTGGTATATGAAAATGAAGAAATATGTCCACAATTGCAGGAGCACCACTATAGATTTACATCTCGCACAATAAATGCTGCTGATGGTCTGAATGAATTGGCAGGTTATGTATACTATATTTTCTTGTATCTCTGTTTTTAAACAAGATCGCCGAAGCAGAAAAGCTGCATGTTGCTCGAGCAACATGCTAAATACAGTTTGGGCCATGGGGAGAGAATCACAAGTAAGACAGCCCAAGTGCAGGGGCAAAGTAAAAAAACAAGGAGCATTTATTGTATACATTGCTGGCATTTGATTTTTGCTGGATTCCGATAGTATTTCAACGGACTACACGTGTGGTATCTGTGGACTTGTTTATATCAACCCTCAAGTAATGTATAAGAAACGTAAGTGAAGGTGTCTAGATCATTATTAGTCCCTTAAGCCCTAAAATTTAGATTTTACTTAAATCGAATTGTCCTGAAGCTAAAATATCAGAAGCTTTTCTCACGCAGACTGTCGCCCTTCAAAGGTTCCACATTTTCTGCTACTAGTGCTGCATCTACCACTGGACAAACGTTCGAATGCTTGCTTTTACGCCTGTTTTCCTCTGTTGTCAGAGAGTCCAGCTGTAGGACGTTTGAAGGCTGAGGAAGCTTTTGGGGACCTGCAGCAGTGTCTCTTTTAATTGGAAATGGCAATTTTTCCAGACTAAACGGTGTATTTTCCGAATACCCAAGGCTGAAATAAAGAATGTAAGGAAAAAGTATAAACATTCCGAATTGCGGCACTATTGCTGTGCATATTTTGGGCAGTTCAATACATATCATACAGGCAACTGGGGGCGATTCAGCCGTTTTTGCTGCTACCATACAAACTAATTTCCAGTAGTTGTGCGTCTTCTAATAAATATGCTTGCATACGTGTAAAAACTATATAATTAATTCACGAAGAAGCTACATTTATGTAAATCAACCCTGTTCCGCGAGCACTTCAAGGATCATCAGACGCAGGGCCTTTAATACATCTGCGAACCAGCGCATGCAGAGTGGCAGCGCAGAGTCGGGGTCGCGAGCTAATTTGCCGACCACCCAAAGGCCCATGATATCAATGACACTTGAAATGCCTTGAAAGCGGGATGTAATATCGTCCCAATTTATGAACATGCAAGGAACAGAATTCCAGCGTCTGAAACACTTGCGCCACCGCTTCACCGAGTTCTCGCAAGATTGTCTTGTGTCGTGTGGACGGACGGGGAGGTTCATCGGCGGAATTGCCTCCGCCGATAGCTTTCGGGATTTGTAACCCAAGCTTAAAGGTAAAAAAAACAAGCAGGCTTATAAAATGTACGGAAGCACGTCAGTATCGGCCTAACTCAATGTCTTGTACATCGGCTAAACGAAGTCCAGCTCCTCGAAGAGCTTGCGGCACACAACGCCAAACCAGGAAACCGGTGCTGGGAAGCGAGCCGATGCAAGATCGCGGAGCGGAGTCCTCCGCCTGACGTCACGGTACACCTCACCCAATCAGGGCGCATCGACCGCAGCGACGCTTGTATTCGCTCTCGGGGCTATAGAAATCGCCTTCTGCGCGCTACCATCTTTGTCTGCTGAGCTGTGGAACACCTTCTGAGCGTGCGCTGTTGCTCTGCTGTGGGGAGTATCCGACGCTGCGCTTGCGTCCACAGTTCAGTGACTCAGCATTTTTCGCCTGAGTGGTAAAAAATGCAGAGGTGTATAGAATAAAATTTTAAAAAAATGTTGTTTTGGACTATTTTGTTTTTGGCAATAATAGCGTTGTCGCACAATCTAGCCTCGAAATTCAACATTTAATTCTATAAAGTGAGTTGAGGGCGCGCCGGAGAACGGTTGTTGCAGCCGCAGGTTTCCTCAATGCCGTGCCACTTGATGTGGCAGTCACGAGAGCATTTAGAATGACTCACAGGAAGAAGGGTTTCCACATGATGCGAAAGTTCTGCACGGCCCGTTTAGCGCTGGTGACGTTGCCTGTCAAAATCTATCATGATAGCCGAGTTTCGCTCAGACTTGTACCGTACGCATTACAAGTAATCAAATTACTTGTCATCGATTACTTTTTGGAGTAATTGAATAATCAGTTGATTGCTTTTATTAGGCAGGAATCACAAAAGTAATCTGATTACTTTTTGAATGAATAAAAATTACTTCTCACCGTTATTAATTTTCCACGGGACCCCCCCCCCCCCCCCCACACACACACACACACACACATTTTTTTTTTCTTTCTGAAATGACAAAAATAAAATTTGCACCTTTTTTCCAACGGACCAAAGAGATTTTTGCGGAGCTGTAGGAAACGAGGTCAACCCCTTTGTATGTACAGTTTCTGTGAAATGTCCGGGAATCCCCGGTGCGTGACAAAGGCCATTCAGGGCGAAGTTTGAGGGAGCAGACTGTAGCTTTCTAAGCCCTTCGTTCAAACTAAACCCCTCAGGCACGCACACAAAAAATATAAAAAATAAAACAATCCTGCTTACGGTACGTACTCGCGGCCCATAGGAGAACCAGAACCCAAGAATATATAAAGCGGATGCAAAATATAACAAGGCCAGTTCAAATACACGTCAATATCCCATTTTTCCTTTACTTGATCTTTGTGACAAGCAAGGGGTTCGAGTTGAGAGGTGGTCGCGGCGAACTTTTCCGCTAATGGATACTACACATGATCCGTTTCAAATCCTGGAGCTGTTGCTCTTTTGTATAACATGCGAGTTCATCCACATGCGAATAATATCTGGGGAAGCGCATGTGTATGCAAAGAGAGTAAGGGCCTCTTGGTTGCCGACACAAGAAAATAAATAGAGCAAGAAAACAAAATACCCTTTATTTGGAACCAGAGATTCCAAGAAGGTGCAACAACCACGAAGAGAGGACCCGTTTTTTCTTCTTCAATACTTTTGAAAAATGAGAAATATAGGTTGGAAGTAGTTCACTGATATTATTCACTAAAGATATAAGTTTTCCAACGATAAAGTAATCGGAAAAGTAACGGTTACTTCTTAAAGTGATGCCCAATTACTTTTGCTGTCGAGTAATGAAGTAATCTAATCGAATACTTCTTAGCCGAGAGTAAAAGTATTTGTAAGCGATTACTTTTTTTTTTTTAGTAACGTGTACAAGACTGGTTTCGCTCATGAAAAAAAAAAATGTTTTCCAAACATCGTTTGTGTGCCCTTTTCTTTTTCCCGAAAGGCATCTCTTCGGGCAAAAACATCGATAGCAATTAAAATAAACCCGACCTACCGACCTATGACAGCTTTCGAGTGGCAGCGCGCAGTGCCTATCACAACGGATTTACACTACGGTTAATCTGGACAAATTGCGAAATAGGTCCTGTTTCCCATGTACACGCAGTTCGCTCTATAATGAGGCCGCAGCTGGTGTATGCGTCCCCCGTCATCAGACTCACGTCGATTCGCCTATAAAACCGACTAAGCGTGCAACTGAAATCGCAGCCTTCGTTTTACCTCAAGCATAGCCACATCATATCTGCACTCTTCGGACCACAGTCATGTTTGCGCTGCTAAGTCTCCTTTTGTCAACCATTCTTGCTACGGCCATCGCGTCTGACGCCAGTAAGTAAAAATTATTGTCAACAATTTTATTATCATCGCACAAAACGAATCCGGTAAATGTTCGTCTTTGACATTTATGGAGTTTTGAACGCCATCCTTGACTGTCCCTTTTGTGTGTGTGTGTGCGTGCGTGCGGGCGCACGTGTGTGCGTTCGTCTGTGTGCATGTGCGTGCGTGGGTGTGTGTGCGTGTGTGTGTGTGTCTTCTATGGGCTAGATTGTATGCGAAAAGCGTTACGCGTGAGCTCACATAAGCCGTTACACGTAAGCTTAGGTATTGTAGTGCATCTATAGCCCATCGCAGGCACTGTATAAGCATGAAAAAATGTATTGAAGCGTTCTAAGTCATAATTATTCATACTTAATAAGATAAAGAGAAATATGCGAAAGCGGCACCCCTAGAATCTCATGGAATCTGCAACCCGACGCCTTTGCTCGGCGTTAGGAGAAGGTAAGCGAAGGCTGGTGGTGTAGGTTCATTTCACTGCCCTCATGTCCACGCGTGTAAACTCGCAGCGCGTAGTAAAGTTCTTTCTTTCTCGCCGGTTTACGCAGCGCGTAAACCGGCGGAAGTATGATCCTGAGTCAACCACCATGATCGAAATGGGCGCGCACACGGCGGCATGGTAGGGCAGAAATGTTTCTATAGCTGTAATGCAACTGCAGGCGGCGGTGTGGCAGTTCGAACAGCTCAAATGCGAGAGGCAGCCAATTGCATTCTTGCGATCGAGCGGCCGTGGTTTTGGGCGACGGGGCTTTGTATCTTTTTATGAAAACACGTTTGACAGGCACCAGTTTCGTGAGCACCGACGTTGCGTGCAAACTTGCTTCGTGAAACGCGCACTCCCTCGACGTTAGGTGGCTTCACTTCGCTTGTTGCCGTAGTTGTGCCTGTCACGGGGGGTTCTTGCGACCGTGAGTTGCAACTCTGAGGCCCCGGTGGGTCACGGTGCTCATCCTGGGCCAGAACCGCGAATGGTATAAGTTCGGCTTACAACAGGCCGCGCTCTGCGCGGTTACCACTCGCTTCGCCACGATTGGGAAGTTTTACTATAATGTCAGGCTCGAGCTTATGGCAAGCAGTCGAAACCGATCAGACTTCGGCAAAGCGATAATTTGGAAAAAAGGATTGGGGACTGGAAGACGTTTTTGCACCCTGTTTACACGAAGTGCAGAATCACTTTATGGCTTTAAATTTCCTTGAGTAATCCAAATACACGTGCTTTTCAATCCTTTCATCTCACAGTTACACAAGGAGCAGCCTCGCCGACGGGCAGCACGCGACTTGTCTCGATCGTCGGTCGCTCTTTATGGCATACTGGGTAGTGACTTTGGCGTTAGGGTAGTGATTTTAGGATATCCCCAAAAAACTAAGGTAGTTGCTTTCGCGTACGCCGAAACTACTATGGTAGTGGTTTAGACGTACGCAATAATGACTACCGTAGTGTTTCTGGAGCAGTAGCTGGATCAGCGTCCGACACCGGGACCCCACCTGTGCATGCCCCCGTTGCACCAATCGAACGTTCGCCAGTGTGCAATCTCGTCATGCCACGCGCAGGTGAGAAGCGATAGCAGACGACGGGGGCACGGGGGTTCGTCTGCTACGAGGTTACATTCCAACCTAGCTGAACAGAGAAAAAAAGAGTGAATTTTCTGCTAAAAATCGGATACCGCGGGCGACAGAATCAAACGACAGCACGAATGGTAAGCATTTCCCATTTCGTGAAGGAAGCAATTCATAGTCCGTACTTCATTTGCAAGTTTTAAGCCGTTTTGTTGGCGTACAGAGGCTGAAATGTACCGGTGGGTAAAGAAACGTTCAGAATAAATACATCAGCGGCCACTAGATCTTTCTCACCATCCGCGTTCAGGTAAAAAAAAATTTAACAACATTTGTCGACAAAGCTCGCCCAGCAGAAACCCTTGACACCTCTCATTAGGAGCCGAGAGACCTAAACATGGTGATTTTATTGGAGGCTTGGGTTATACCTCTGTGCTTAACATTTAACTACACCAGCTATCTTCTACCGTCTTATTTTGTTTGAGAAAGCTCTCGTTCTCACCTTTCTCAGCAGAGATAAAATTTGATTGATCCAACCACATACCACGATTCAAATCAGAAGTGCCACGCCACGTATTCCTGAAGACTCCAACAGACTAGTTATCAAGCAGTATCTCTTTAAGGGTTCACGCTTAAAATTTATCAAATATCCGAGCGTACAATATGAACCGTTTTCTTCAATGTAAACGTTTATGAGAATTGAAAGATCGCTCAATTTTCGTTCCTTTTTAGTGCTGTTTTGTGATCAGTTGGTAGCGGAAATCCAAGCCGTCTGCAAATATCTCATCGACAGTCGAATTGTATTGAAGTCATCGCAAATATAAACAACACGTTGCGGTGACGGCGCCACCGTATTCCCGCCTGACCTTTTTGAATAGCATGGCTCTAGTTCCGGTTTGAGGTCTATTGTCTTACCAATACATAGATGGCGACAGCATCGGGCTGCACTCGGTGCACCCGGCGAGCTCCTCCGCGGGACCGGTTCTCTGTGCGACACTCCGCGAGTGCGATGCATTCTGGGAGAGAACTCGCGCAGTGCCAGTGCGTGTGAAACACACCCGCTTGAAGTATGATCTGAAAAGGCCTGCGGTAGTGGATGTCTGTCGTTGCACGCGGCTGGATTCCCACTGACGAAGCGTAGCTCCTAAAGGGAATTTCACGACGTCACAAGCCTGCTGGAATGCATTCTTAACTAGTCTTGCTCATTCCAATGAAAAAGAGAAAGTACATACGTGTATCCTGCGTACAAAAAAATAAAAATACGTGACACATTTCGTAACTGAACATAACCAATCATGACGTACCCATTAGGCATGTACGACGCAGTATGTGCTCCATGTGTGTATCAGAATGATCAAGACAAGCTAAAACATTTTTAAACATGGTATCTCTTTTGTGGGGTCCCTTAATTTAATATTTTCACTCGTCCTTTCGTTTGACCGCTTGTGCATTGCCTTTCTACTTTTAGCGGAAAAACTGACGTAACGTGATCTGACGTTACTTCACCAATACACCACTTCAGGTTCCCCACTAAATTTAGCCTCAAAATTAACTTCGGGTTACCTACACACTAACCTCACGTGAACTCAGCGCAAATTTCGTTTCACCGTTCATTTTAGCTAAAACATTGATGTCACGTGACTTACACGCCCATTCAGTTTTTCTGCTATTTTTAGCTGGAAAAATTAATAATCTTTTGATTTGTTCCCTGCCCGAAACGGTAGATTAATGTCTGCTAAACAAATATGTAGAAATGCTTTGTAAATATTTCATCCCATGCATTGTTCATAAAGCTTTGTAGATAAATGTCGCTGCCAAATCCTTTATTTCTTTTTACGTATTCACAGAATGCGGCGTCCGCGGTGGGGCCCAGAATACCGCAGGCGGCATTTCCCAGATCGTGGGTGGAGACAAGGCGGCACCCCTTGAGTTCCCTTGGCAAATCTCTCTTCGGATCCTCAACCTCACCGCCAACTACGAGAAAGGCCACACATGCGGCGGATCCATCATTAACAAACAGCACGTCATGACAGCGGCCCACTGCGTGTACGTGCAAACGATCAACGGCTTGCGTTCGTGTGGTTGTATTAGATTCATAATAGTCAATATACCAATGAATTGTTTACGTCAGCTACCGTTGTGAGCGATGTTTCGTATAGGATCCTCGGTTGCGTACTATTATGTAGGGTTGTCGTGGCACTTGACGTTACTGTTTAAAGTGTCGTCATGCTTAGCGTTGGCAACGTTACTAGATTACCTCAGTTCTGGAACTTCCACATGGGGGGTACCCCCCCCCCCTCTCTCTCTTTATTCTATTAGTAAGGTTCCCGTCCTTAGAAGCGCAATCCAAATTCTCGTTTCAAAACTGCGTGTTCCCTATAATAGAGTGAAACTCCATCTAGACGTTGTGTTTCGGAGCATGCGTATTCTATAGACCAACTCATGATTATAAACAAACCAAAGAGCCCCTAGTGGCAAGCCACCGACGCCGCGCATGCGCGATGGGGTGTAAGCAGAATCGTCGCGTCCCGGTGTGAGTGTGAGTCGCCGTGCTCTTTTACGTGTTTGTATCGTTGATTCTACGTCTTCCTAGCAAGGTCTTGTTAGTTTTGTAGCGTATGGGAAATTAACGAGTCTCGTTACACCGCAATACGTCGTGTAAATAATGTGACCCGCGGCGAATCCTTCCACGTGCACAAAACAAAACAGATGCTAAATCCTGTATCTAAAGATGAGATCCTGCTCGCTGTTTTCAGTCGCGATGGCGCTCGGGCTGCAAAAGTCTGGACGATAAATGCGATGCTTGACGTCGATACTGAAAATCGCAAGCAGAATCCGACCAAGTGGATCAGGCATAAAAAGTCGGTGATGGTCACTCGTAACAATGATCAACATCTCTTTGTTTCTACTGTTTACGCCGAGCTTACTTACCCCAAACAATCTTCAAACTTAAGTCTTTTGAGGCCTGCACGTAGTTCTTATCGCATCATTTGTCTACTGATCGCTGTCGTTTGAACGAGCAGACGACAGTTTGAACGATCAGACAAACGTGAAGACGCACAAAGTGGTACGCACAACAATGCAAGTTTCCCGCGTTCTCGTTGGAGCAAAATAAATAAATCTGACGCTTACCTGTACCCTCAAATTCAACCCAAAGTACTTCCCGCTCAAGCAATCGTGGTCTGACGGTGTCTGTTTTGTTTTTCTTTCCTTTCATTAGATTTATTTACGCTGTCGGACGAACCGAGCAGTCAGATAATACAAGAATACGGATCTTCACACCCTTCCCGGTCGCTCAATCTCTTTGGGCAATATACTACAGTAGAAGTTGATAAAGGATCTTAATGTTGAAAAACGCCGTCCTTTATCAATTTAAGGCTTGGAAATCTAATCACTTTTTATTAGCTATACTCTCATATGATAAACTTTCTATGAGAAAAAAAAATATCTTAGTCGAATCCTAAAAAGGCTGCACATATTTTCTTTTAGGGAAGGCGGAATACCAGCAGAATATGTTGTTGTGGTCGGCGACCAAAATATCAACGTACAAGATCCCACAGAAGAAAGGATTGGAGTGCAGAAGGTAAGTAAAATTGTTCTCTAAAGCATAAAACACTGGTTTATACGTTTAGGTTTGAGTGGAACCGACTGGGCTGTGCCCGCTTGTAACTCCTTACGATGGAAAAACTCGCTGGCACACTGGCGCCATCTATTATGTAGCCCGGGAACAATGCCGATCTGTGTATATATCATTCAATTCTTTTACGCTCGTTCGTTCCCCGTGGGTTTGAAACAATTCGAACAAAGTTATAAGCAACCATTTGGCCTATCTAGTGGATACATTTGACATTGCAAATACGACAACGCCTTCAGTCTAGTTTAACGCAGATCGGAAGTGTTCATCGACTTCCGTTAGATGGCGCTTATGTGCCAGCGTGTGTTTCACGTCGTAAGGTGTAACAATAGGGGCTCAACGCAATGGGTCGCACTCAAACGTAAATGTGTAAAACAGCCTTAAAGGGGCCCTGCAAGGACTTTTTTACTGGATTTTGATTTGCACCGAACCTGAGTGCACTGAACGTAGTAACTTAATCAAAATTTTCTCGAATGGCGATTTATTTTAAAAGTTATAGGCAAATTAAAATTATAAAAAAACATGCAAAAAATAACCTCCTTCATGACGTCCTTGGTTGCTTAAGTGGCCGTGAACTAGACGAGGGGTAGTGACCTCAGCGAGCGGTCACGGCTGCCGCACCCCCTGTCGACGGCTCGAATGGGCGCCACTAAACCATGCTCTAGATAGGCTGTATGAAGCGGGCAGCCAGAGCGGCTCGCATTGCAACCGCTGCGCGATTAAACACTAATTCGGCATGATACTTCATTGGCCACAAAGGACAGCAAACACGGGGTAAAGATGAGTTCAGAACGGGAGCCACTTCGCGCTGCCATACCGCCAAAAAGGCCAAACCGCAAGCCAAAGCTGCTCACCGAAGGCCTTGCGAACGCTCGGAACCGGTCGGATCCTCCAGTCCGTACAATCGTAGCGCCGCCGTGTACATCCGGGACCTTTCTACGCTGGCCGCTCGTTGGCGCCTGATCCCATAACACCTTTCTAGTATGCGCCGCTTTTTCCACCGCTTAATGGCGAGTATGCCGACGGGTCATTTCTTGTTTTCGTACTTTATAAACTTCATTTGTTTCTTTTCTGATCTAAAATAGTGAACAAAAACTACTTTAATAAATATTTGAAACGGTTCGCGCGACTTATATTTTGTAATAATGTAGCAATTTGGGCCCTGTTGAGCTTGATTCTAGTCTGACTGTGTGAAGAGACATGAGAGGTGTAGCATAAGTGGGAGGCCTTGAACCCTCGTGGTTGTGTCGTGCCGACAGTGAAATACCACCACTTTCATCGTATCTTTACTTACTCGGTGAAACAATATATTTTGTGTTTCGAATTTTGTATTTCGACAAAAAAGAAGCTTTTTAGCGGCTCTGACCAGTAGTAAGCCCAGGACCAAAGACGTCACATATCGCGCGCCTTTGGCACCGCGGGTCGCCCCCGTAGGTGGAGGAGGTTTCCGGGTCGTCCGGTTAAAATATGACGCTCTAATATTTAGTTACTCTCTCCGTGCCGGCTGGCTTGCACGAAACCCCGAGGGACGTGGAAACCGCAAAAAATGTAGACGCTTAAATATGATTGCAGGGCCCCTTTAAGCGCCTAACAGGTTCTCTTACCGTTATTTCTCTAATGAAAGATTACAACGCATTAGGTCCGACAAATTGCATAAAAAAAAAAAAAGAAGAATCTTTCGGGTTATATTATATGAAAGCATTATTTCCATATTTGCCTTTGGAAGGCGAGCAAGTTTTTACATTGTCACAGCAGCCGACACCAGTGTAGTGAAGGCCTGGTTTACGCTAAAAACACGTCATGTGTTTTCTTTTTTTTTTTTTTTTTGTGTGTGTGTGTGGGGGGGGGGGGGGAGAGGGGGGAATTGAGCTATTAACAGCAAAGCTACCGTTCCAAACATTTACTGAAAATATAAACTTTTGTATATAGGTGTGCGAATACCGGTTTGGATGGAATAGAGCAAATTTTATCGCTAGTTACGAAAACTGGATGTCAAGGATTGTGTAGGTTATGAACGAGAACGTTTCCGATAGAAATCTGTCAGGTTGGTGAAAAGTTAAACTAAAATTGAGTAAAATTCAACCACAATTTAAAAAAAGAAAATGACCGCATCTCCACGTGGTGAATGCTGTTGATTGGGGCGAAGCTCTGGTGGGGCTGATGATACTGATTTTATTGTTCATAGGTAGTGCTGATGGTGCTGATTTTTTTTATTGCTCAGAGGTAGTGCTGAGTCCCGGGTTGTGTTTCGACTTCATTATTAGCTCTTGAGTTACTACCACATCTCAGAGCCCCCTACTGGTCCCGCAGTCGCGGCCGAGTGGTAAAGGCGATAGACTAGAAATCCATTGGGGTCTTCCCGCACAGGTTCGAATCTTGTCGACTGCGGAAACATATTTTTTCTTCTTTTTTTTAAGAAGACAGATGGGATGGCAATCGATGTGAGCACAGACGCCGGACGGACAAGGCTAGACCCTAAGGAGCTTCGCCCCTAAAAAGCTTTACAGCCGGACGTTTTAAAACCTGTTCGGTTTCTGCATCAAGTATGAATAAATCGCCAGGAGTAGCAGCAGCTTTCATTTTCTTAGTTCATATGAGTCGCAGCAGCAGCACGTTATAAACAAGGCCATAAAGAGAGGACAGATAGGACAAATACAGCGCTGACTAACACCTCACGTTTTTTCTTCGACTTTTTTGTAAGAAGCAGGGCCACGGTGTACAGAAAGAAAAAAAAAATGGAAATTTGAGCTCACCATTCTGACTACTACGCCAAGTAGTATAGTTCCTTGAGGGATAAAAAAAAAAAAACGAAATGGGCGCGGACACATTTGTCATGGAGTCGCGCGACCTCCTCAGCCTCAATAAGTTTTGTTCTACTTAGAAGGTCACCACACCGCGCCAAAAGCAGTGCATTTTCTGAACTGGGGTTCTCGGCAGTGAAGCCCCAGATGGACAGAGTTAGCCGTTTTTGTGTTGTGTCGACGCTCTCGCAACCGATCGTTGAGACATCGGCCCGTTTGCCCGACATACTTTTTGCGACTAGAGAGTGGTATAGAATACACCCCTCCTTCCGTACGCTAAACAGTCTTCGTTCGAGTCTTTACGAGGTCAGTTAGGACAGGACACAGCACAGCTAGCGAAGTGGCATGTTAACATCTTTCGCAGCATCCCCAAGGCCCACCTCGAAGAAGAAATCTTGAGTTGTAAGCAGCTATGAAAATGAAAGCTGCGTCAGCTCCACGCGATTTAGTCACGATTGATGAGGAAACCCATCAGGTTTTGAGACGACGGGCTTAGTTTTTTTGGGATTTTGATTGAAGTCTTTTTTCTTTTGAATTTGACTCTGTAGCGTATGTATAACGCACTCCTATTTTATTCGATCCGTTATTCGCGGAACAACTCCCACGTTTTTAGGTTATCGCCCTCAAACTCAACATACCATATTGCAGTTGGTTTCCTGTCGCTTAAAAGGGTTCTTGGTATACGCTTTAACTTTTTTTTTCTCCCACAAACACAGATAACAGTTCATCCACTCTACAATTCGAGGACAACTCAGTATGACTACGCAATACTGAAGCTCGACAAGGTTCTGGACTTCGATGGTCAGGAGAAGCATCTCATGCCCATCTGCCTTCCCTCGTACTACGAGAACTTTGATGGAGAAACCTGCACTGCCAGTGGATGGGGACTTACCAAAGACCGTGAGTAATTTCGTGCAGCGCATTGAACGAAATTGCCACATATAGGTATGTTTAAATACACAGTATTATTTAAAAAAAAATTAATGTATCCACGCGGCTTTCATCTTGATAATAAAATATCTGTTATGACGTAATAAAGTTTTAGATGTTTATCAAAAAGCGCTTGGTACGGACTTACCGAATTTCAGTTGTCAAACGTGAGCATGCTAAAACCAAACAGTTTGATTTTTTATTTTTTTGTTTTTTTAGGCATGCTAAAGTTCCTTCGCGCTTTTATCGGCTCAGAACGCATTCTCATTCGCTGTAGAACGACGATAGCACGCTTGGTACTCATCATGTCCTGCGTTCTTAAGCTGTCAGTTATTGAACTCAATTACGAAACAGTTTATTTTTATATATAGTTGAGATTAGCTGATTAGAATCCCGCATCATCGAATTGCTAAACCGCAAAAATCATGGGAAGTCGAGGTTACACTTTAGCAATGGCCAAATGCATGTTATGTCTAGTTAGTCCCAATACTTTGGCGTAAAGAGAACTTGCAAGTTATGGTGCAATTTATGTGTTCGATATACTGTTTTTTTTTTTTTTCGAAAGTTCAGGCTTTTCAGTATATACCTGCACCGAGACCACCATAATTTTGGGCCTACAATTTGAGCATGCAACGAATACGTGTTCTGCGCAAGCGCTCTGCTCCAACTAGGTTCCAATGGCGCGCTTCACGCGGGCGCAAATTTACAAAATTTGGCTGCCCCCATCGTTGCTTAAATGTTCTTTTTTTTTTTTAAAAAAAAGGTCGATTTTCGCCACCTGGACGCCTCGATGACAATCTTCCATTCTAAATGTCCTTTTTGCGCGCTTTAGCTACTCTTTTTATGCAAGGTTCCATTCCAGCTTATTCATCCCATCATCTACCTTGTTTTAATTTTTTTTTCACCTTGTCTCATTTGAACAAGTAAAACAAAACTTTTCAATATTACTATGCGTCTTCTTTCAAGTTCACACCTGATTTACCCAGGAGCTCTGGTTCATGGGATTTTGAATTATTTTTTTAATTAAACCTTTTAAAGAGTTTCTTTGCGTATCAGGTAATCGTGCGGAAGTAATTGTTAACGTATGGATTTGTCAATATACATACAGAAATGAAAGAGAGACAGAAAATAGAAATGACACGTGTCGCTTCTACTGTCTTCTACTGCGGTTCGTAGAACAAGCCCGACTGGTGCGTTTACCGCGTTCCTCAATTTCCGCCTGATGACGCCACAAAAGTCTCATGCCGTCAACAAACGCGACTCTGTCGGTGTCACTGCAGCGGTATTATATGTGGCAGACGCCTGTTCTGCCGCAAATTGCTCTCAACTTGACAATTCACGGAACCTTCAACAATCAGGAGTTGGGCCGCCGGGACGACAGCGACACTACCGTTCACTGGTACTTTTTGCCTGGGATTCTTAGCATAAACAGCCAAGATCGCGACATCCGACAGGGTGACACGGCGGCTCCTTTGACGTCATTTAGTCCCACTTTGGGACCACTTTGATGTTTGGGCGGAAGAGGACGCTAAACACACCAGTCAAGGACGCGTTCCAGGGAACCGTACTTCCTAGGTCCCTCATTAGTTCCTTTAAATTAGTCATTAGTAAGTTCAACCCTTCAAAACGTTAAATGCATAGTTTGCTTTGTACGGCGAATAACAGGTAGTAATATGTTTTTCTTCGTCACATAACACGCAGGAACTGAAGGGGGAGTCGACACGAACCCCGATCTCCTAAAAGTAGACTTGCCCATCGTGCCGTACAGTGAATGCCGGAGGATCTACCGGAGAGTAAACACAGTCGATAGAAACACAATGATTTGCGCAGGAACCACAGAAGGTGGAAAGGGGACTTGCCAGGTAAGGGATCGAAAGTATCTGAAATAGCCAGTAACACCACCGTGTTGTACGAGGTTGCTTTGTTTATTCCTGTTAATTGGAATAAAATAGAAACAAGAGTGATGCAAAATATCTTGATACACACAGAATGTCCGATATATGCCCTAGCTACTTCTTCACATAATCACCGCTCATATTAAGGCAGTCGTTATGACGCATCACAACCTTTTGCATGCCCTGCCCAAAATGTTTGCCGCCTGGGTTCTTCGCCATTACATCACCTCTACAATAAAACTCTCAGTCGCAACAGACGTTTTTTTCTAGCCCACATCATCAAGGAGGTCTGTTCGCCCTTCAACACGCTTCACGTGCGGACTATAGTCCACAACTGGTGCATAGTCCGCAGAAATCAATTTGGAATTAAACATAAACGTTTTTACAGCAAAGCTGTTATGCGCTACGATCTGGGAAAAAATGCGTCCACGGATATTGACAGAAAACTCCCCATTGGTCGTGGGAAGTAAGAATAAATAAATCTAAAAGAGGAGGTGAGTGAGCCTTCCTTGGCGTTATTAGATAGTGAGGTTGTTATCATCCTTGTTATCATCTGTAGGCATCGTCCTCGAGGTCGTCCTGGAGGTCGTCTTAGAAGTCGTTCTTGAGGTCATCCTAGAAGTCGTCCGGGATGTCCTCTAGCCGTCGTCCTTGAGGTCATCCTAGAAGTCGTCCGGGATGTCCTCTAGCCGTCGTCCATGAGGTCATCCTAGAAGTCGTCCGGGATGTCCTCTAGCCGTCGTCCTTAAGGTCATCCTAGAAGTCGTCCGGGATGTCCTCTAGCCGTCGTCCTTGAGGTCATCCTAGAAGTCGTCCGGGATGTCCTCTAGCCGTCGTCCTTGAGGTCATCCTAGAAGTCGTCCGGGATGTCCTCTAGCCGTCGTCCTTGAGGTCATCCTAGAAGTCGTCCGGGATGTCCTCTAGCCGTCGTCCTTGAGGTCATCCTAGAAGTCGTCCGGGATGTCCTCTAGCCGTCGTCCTTGAGGTCATCCTAGAAGTCGTCCGGGATGTCCTCTAGCCGTCGTCCTTGAGGTCATCCTAGAAGTCGTCCGGGATGTCCTCTAGCCGTCGTCCTTGAGGTCATCCTAGAAGTCGTCCGGGATGTCCTCTAGCCGTCGTCCTTGAGGTCATCCTAGAAGTCGTCCGGGATGTCCTCTAGCCGTCGTCCTTGAGGTCATCCTAGAAGTCGTCCGGGATGTCCTCTAGCCGTCGTCCTTGAGGTCATCCTAGAAGTCGTCCGGGATGTCCTCTAGCCGTCGTCCTTGAGGTCATCCTAGAAGTCGTCCGGGATGTCCTCTAGCCGTCGTCCTTGAGGTCATCCTAGAAGTCGTCCGGGATGTCCTCTAGCCGTCGTCCTTGAGGTCATCCTAGAAGTCGTCCGGGATGTCCTCTAGCCGTCGTCCTTGAGGTCATCCTAGAAATCGTCCGGGATGTCCTCTAGCCGTCGTCCTTGAGGTCATCCTAGAAGTCGTCCGGGATGTCCTCTAGCCGTCGTCCTTGAGGTCATCCTAGAAGTCGTCCGGGATGTCCTCTAGCCGTCGTCCTTGAGGTCATCCTAGAAGTCGTCCGGGATGTCCTCTAGCCGTCGTCCTTGAGGTCATCCTAGAAGTCGTCCGGGATGTCCTCTAGCCGTCGTCCTTGAGGTCATCCTAGAAGTCGTCCGGGACGTCCTCTAGCCGTCGTCCTTGAGGTCATCCTAGAAGTCGTCCGGGATGTCCTCTAGCCGTCGTCCTTGAGGTTATCCTAGAAGTCGTCCGGGATGTCCTCTAGCCGTCGTCCTTGAGGTCATCCTAGAAATCGTCCGGGATGTCCTCTAGCCGTCGTCCTTGAGGTCATCCTAGAAGTCGTCCGGGATGTCCTCTAGCCGTCGTCCTCGAGGTTGTCCTTGTCGCTCTTGAGGTCGTCCTAGACGTTGTCCCTGAGGTCGTTCACGGGGCCGTCCTAGAAGTCGCCCTTGAGGTCATCCGAGAAGTCGTCCTAGGCGTCGTCCTCTAAGCGTCGCCCTCCAGGTCGTCCTAGAAGTCGTCCTAGACGTCCTCTTGGCGTCGCCCTCGAGGTCGCCCTAGAAGTTGTCCTTGAGGTCGTCCTTAAAGTAGTCCTACACATCGTCCTAGAAGTCGTCCTTGAGGTCGTCGTTTACGTCGACCTCTAGGTTTCGTCCTAGACGTCGTAAAAATAACAGCTTTCCGGTCCTCCATCTTCACGCGTGAAGTGAAAGGACTCTACAATTTTCTTGCTTAAATAGTTCGCACCCGGTGCATAGTCCACAGGCCAGGCCTAGTCCGCACTCCGCCTAGTCGAAACGCACAAATTATCATACATATCACACCTTGACAAATGCCTCCCGTATTAGCTCATAAAGAAGCTCGTATCATACATATATCAACATTAATATACTCCGTTATTCATGAAATCCTCCCCATCTTGTCACGGTAAACTAGTTTAAAAAAACGGAAATACTTCTGTAGTCCGCACCTGTAGACAGTCTACTTGGGGCAAAATTGCAACGTTTAAAGATGTATAGTCCGTAAAATACCGTACTTTCCTTATACACTTTCCACGTCCGTGGCGAGTGACGGTCTAGTCGAACACGGAATGGGATGACCAAAAGCCCAGGCGACAACCTTTTTTGGGAGAGAGCATCCGAAAGCTTGTCCCACCTCGTAATAAATACATAAATGTTTGCGGTGATTATGTCAGAGTAGCCAGCGTAAGTATGTACATTCTGTGCATATCACCAAAACTTTATCGGTCATTTTCTTCCCAGTTCATGGGAAGCTGAAAAATCAGCCCTCTTATTAGTTGCCAAGTGCACACGAAGACCGCATGAGCCGACTGATCGACGCACGCCGATTCCCCTTGGGCATGCGATGTCCAGTGCAGTGTCTGTAGAAGTAACGGGGAAAATATACTCATTACAGTTGCATTACATTTTTTAAAATGCAGTTCGCTAAATTTACAATAACTCCATTGAAAATTATTAAAGTTACAATTACCTGATTAAAAGCGCTAGTGATTAAAGTTACGAGTTACAATTACGTAATTCAAAGCGCTATTGATTAAAGTTTCAATTACTTTATTGCTAGAAGTTATAATTACTTCATTGAAAATGCAATTGATTAAAGTTTCAATTCTTTTGTTGGAAATTCGTTTCATTGGAGATCCATTACGTAATTGAAAACGCTATTTAAATAATTGAAGTTACATTTACTTAATTAAAAAAATCGAATGATTAAAGTTTCAACCCCTTTTAATGCAAATGATTAAAGTTATAGTCATTTCATAGAAAACGCAATTCAATCAACTTGCGATTACTTCACTAAAATCCATTGAAAGACAGTTCTTAATTATCTCAATAGAAGTGGTATTGATTAGGGTAATACATTACTTACATAAAAATGCAATTGTTTGCAGTATTTAATAACTGCCCCCAAAAGTAACGAAGAATACTGTTCCGAAATCAGTTGCATTTCCCTGATATGCTTGCAACATTATTCAGTGATTTTACAAGAATGTGACAAGGTATAGTACATGATATCACCATAAAGCAAAATATATATTTCGTTACGAGGACAAAAATTACAAAAAAAAAACCAACTAGGTATTCTATTTAATCTCTTTCTTGACACTTTCTTCGTTCAAACTTCTGGGCCAACAGATTAATTTCAAAGCTGGGCCAACAACTCAATTTCAAAGTACGCATCAGTCATCTCGCATCTCAGACGAAATCTGACGCTGTTATAATGTACCGTTTCTCATAGATTGTACGCACCGTTTATCGCGCAAATATTGTAAAACCATCAGTCTAGTTATACGCAACTCGAAAGGGTTCCATCACTACTCGAGAGATGGCGCAAGTGTGTTACAGGATTGCGAGACCTTACAACGCACAAGGTCACAGTCAAACGCCAATGTTTGAACCAGCCTTTACTAGTTCACGCGACATTCTAAAAACAGTTTATACTAATTTCCAGGGCGATTCCGGAGGACCCCTGCAGTGTCAAAGGTCGGATGGCCGCTACGTGCTGGCAGGATTGACATCCTGGGGTACCATATGTGCCGCTCCAAATCAACCTACCGTGTTCTCTAGGGTCTCAACCCAGCTGCTTTGGATTTGGCTAACTGCTGGAGCGACTCCGTAACGGACCTGGCCTTCGCAGCATTTCATACATATTTCTGCGGAACAGGCAGTGTATTTATGGGCATGATAAACCGACAAACATGCATCCAATAAAGAGCCATCAGGGTTTACATATCTCTACGGTTAGGATTAATTTGTAAAAGTAAACTGTTTGCTATTTTGACATCAGAAAACGGCGACATATACATTACGAATGCACCGAACGTCGATCGACTTGTCTTTCTCCTAATCCCTGCTAAGGTGCGAGAAGAGAGTTGTGTCTGAACAAGGCGAGCTAAAGCAGCAAACGATTGCTTTCGCTTTGAGCATCTCCCGGCACGGGCACTGTCGGTTGAGGGGGCTTCGCACAGGCGCTGTGGCGCGTCGCAAAGCCTTGTAAATTGTGCTTGCTAATAAGGTGGGTTCTCGCGCGGCTCCTATTGACACCTCTAGGTGCCCATTAAGATTCCCCTAGGCATGTCGAGCCATTTCATGGCATTTGCCAGAAATGCGGGTGAATCTTCCTCACAGCTGCTCCCTAGCCAGGCGACGCCGTTCAGACAACTTTTTCATCTTTCATTCACTCTCTGTCATTGTACTTCTGTATGACGTGAACTTCAAAAGCCGATCAACAAGCAATAACAAGGAAACCGCCCCCAGTAGCCCATTTCTGTCTTCTTTTCCGGAAAGAGGAAAACCCTAACGCAAGAAGCGGGCCATTGCCTTGACTAATGTGTACCTGATTTCGACCGCGAGGCGGTGATAGTGTTCCCGCAGTAAAACTTGGAGCGAAATGAGAAAAGGAGGAAACGGTATTTCGACCAGCTTCCTGAAAATGGGAACACTTATAGCGTAAGCGTACGCTGGCTTTGATACCAGCGTAAGGACTGGCGATGACATCTTCTGAAGTTATCTGTAAGTTAGTTGGTCTCTAAATGATTTATGTCTAACATGAGAATAACTTGTGTTCTAATTGTTGGAAATATAAATTTTGAAAGAAAGTATTCACAAGCTCTTCCTTTTAGTCTATTTGGTATCTCAAGAAGCTTGCCTTCCCTCCTCCCTCTTTCCCCTACCCTTGACTTCAATCAATGACACATTCCGTGGCAAAAGTTTTTAGAGGATGAAGAGGGCAAAGATCAGACGCCGGAGGTAACGAATTGCTCCATCACTACTTAGAATCAGAAAACGCCAAAAGACGTAACATGGCTCTTTTTTTTTAAAAAAAAAAGCCCCAGTAAATGCGTCACCTATTATCTCAAATCATAATTTCTTTGTGAAAAATTGTAAGCCATTCCACTTTATGAAGCTATTGGCCAGCAAAGCTGTAGATTACCTCCACAAATGATTCATCAAAAGACACACAGAAGGACTTCACCAAATGTTTATTTACAGTATATATACATCATTTTGAAACGGTAGTGATGATTCTTTTGTGATCACTATGATATATACTTATGGGTTCCATTACAACTTTGGTGGTGTAGGGACTGGACGCACCGCTAAGCCCGTCCAGTCTCAAGAATAGAAAAAGAGAAAGAAAAAGACGCACGTTAGCTGTGCGCTCACGCACTCACGAGGATTATTCCTTATGAAGCACCACCGAAATACAACGTTGTTTGGAATGCCCGTCTCTTACCTGTTTCTTTTACCCCAGTGGGATTATTTGTTCAAGTTAAATCTATACATACAATGCTTTACGTATAAGAGCTGCTGCCTTTAGCTACATAAAGCAGTGACGTCACCCAACTCGAGTGGGAGAAGGCCCATTGTTCTCGCAAGTATCTCCATTATCACACGTCTCGGCGTCTTTTCTTATCAACATGCATGTCGAAGTGACGGGACTATATGCATTTCCTTATAATAGAGCACTTTTAGATGCAATTTTGTTTTTGCGCATGGATACCAAAACTTCAAGAAACCCTAGCCATATACATCTTCGCTGTAATAGTGCAGTGTATACCTGATTCACAAACTTACATTCGTTTACGTATGTGAGTGGCAGATTTACTTTCTATTCCCTCTGCGATTTATGGAACCCGTTCTGGCTCACAAAAGCACAGGCGCTCGAGAAGAACTCTCTATGTGCATGTATGCTGTAACGTTCCGCCTAGCAGCTGATAGGTCACGTTATCCTATGAGCCGCCTTTTTCTCCCGGATAATTTGGTCATCTGGTGTTTGCTCGAAAAATAAGAAAGCTCGTGGCGAGCAAGTCTTCAACGAACATGAGCAATCAATGGTACAATTGCTATGTTCATAACGCATCTTCCTCTCCCACCGAAACCTTGCCGAAGAAGATATTTAGTCTCCCATCATACTTCTTCAGGAAGATTTGGAAAAATGGGGTATCAAAAATAACGCTATCATGCTGGTTTTTAGTGTTTTCCGCTTTCTGTCGGGCCTGGTTCTCGAGCACATGCGCCGCCACCAGGCGTCGAGCTCATCGTGATGACTTTCTAGCTGTTATTTACCACTCTGTTAACTGATGAAGACTAGCCAATATCAATATGAGAGTCACTAGCTTCCAAAACTGCACAATGTCCCTGCTTTGCAAATAACGCGTTCCCTACGCTCCCAGACCCAAGCAGGTTAAAATAGCAGGAGCGCGTATGAGGTCATTCCCCGTAGCTTCTCCAAGCCATTTACTCTCGAAGCTCGCCTCTTCCTCGTCTATCTAGTGATAATAGGATGTATGTGTATTTATACAGCTGGAAGTTAGTTAGCCTTAATGGGCGTCTGGTGCCTCAACTGTAGGCCAGAGAATTAGCCTGTGCAGTACAACTGCTAGCCTAGGCTTTTGAACGGGCACCACGCACTAGTAATACACAAGCGCACGCCGCAGTATACCATGCTCATCCAAATCAAAACGGCCAGGGGTCCCTGGGAAGTGGGTTCCACAGCGGCAGCTTTCGCCCCACGCGCTCAGAGCTCCGCTGCGTTAACACACACGGCCACCGATCCCACTTTCGTGCTCCTCCACAAAACATCGCTTCCAATAAACTATTCCCGCCGTACCCTGAGTGATTCATGGTTGTGCATACGGACAGGGTGTCACTACTGGTAGATTCTACGGTTCTACTCGCCAGATATGGAGAGCGCTGCAACCGGAGCGTCTGCGGACGACCGTGTAGGCCTAAATTTTACACATGCAGAAATCAAGGGGGAGGTCAGGACATCCGGACCCCCCCTCTAAATCCGCCCCTGGCCACAATGGATTCTCGAGCTGCAAACCACAGCGGAAAGATCGGTGCCGGCGCAAACTCTGGCCATCACCGAATGTACACTTAGGTGGTAGATGCTACCTTGCAAAATTTCCAAACGTAGCTCTCTTGCTGCGAAAAATGGGGCGGACAAATTGGCCAGGGTCACTGGCGAGCGTGTGCGCAGTTAGCCATGGTTGTAACTTGTGGCGCCCTCTCCCAATAGACGCAGCGAGCGGATGACGCACTTTGTTTTCTGCTAGCCGCGATTGTCGGGTGATGGCGCCATAGTTACATTCATCGCTAAAAGCTGTTTGTAACGCGGGTTCCCGTAGCCCCTTCACCTCCCAAGCAATTGCGACGCCAGTGCTCGTAGAATTTTATGCCTAAAGAACATTGCAGTAAAGCCAACTTTTGAAACTACTATTTTGCACATTCGGATGCCCAGATAGGAATTATAATACAAAAAAAAAAAAAAAGACTGACATAGGATTATGCCCATAGAAAGTTAACATCAATGGGAATAATAGATAAATAATTAATATAAATAAAAATGACCTTGCCTTCGGGCTCAAAATATTGCTAATTGTTATGATATACAAAATATATATAAGATATTTCGTGAAAATAGATTAGACTAAAATGGTGTCACTCAATAGCACGTACATGTGTAGGACTACTGGTGTGTACTATACTTCGTTTCACCCAAAGTCCGAGCGCAACGGACGCTCCGAGAGGACTGGGCCAATCAATCAGAAACAAGCGCGCAGTGCCACGGTGCACTTTCTGTACCTAATCGGATCACCTTCGATGCACTCCATGATGTTGCACCTTTGTCGCAGCTTGATTGGCCCTGTCGTTTCGTAGCGTCTGATGCGCTCGGACGTAAGGTGAAACCAACGTTACTAAAACACTCAGTTGGGAAACTCGCCGTCGAAACCTGGGCCGCTGGCGTCCACCGAGACCGAGCTAAATGCGACAACAGCGCCACTCTTTTTCGTTTGTCTGTACCAGGGTCACTTCGAGCTTTTTGAAAACCTGTTTCTGCGTAAAAACAAACGGAAAAGACTCTTTTTGTATGAGATTTATTGGAGTTTAGTACCAAATGATGGGCGCGTGATGTTTTTATCATCTTTAGTTCGCAAGGTTTTGCGGAACAATTAATAATGTTTTTATACAACCATGCCTCAGCGGGCCTTTCAGGTAGCGCGTCTTGACCTAGGTGCATTTTAACTTCAGTAGTTGAACGCGGCGCGTCCGCTGGGGAGATGGGGGTGACACCCCTGTAACCTCTACCGCTGTATCTGTTCTTAAAGCCATAATAGAAGTCACGTGCAGTTCCTCGAGTGGCCGCTGCGGGAGAAATGGTGGCGTTGTGTTCGTCATTAGCTCGGTGCCCGGAGACAGATTGGGGCCATTTTTTTAAAGCTGTCTCTATGGGAGTTTTCCAACTGAGTGTTTTAGTAACGTTCGGTGAAACGGAGTATGGTTACACTTCGTTTCAGCTTAAGCCCAGATGCAGCCGACGCTTAGAAGTAATGGGACCCATCAAACACCGTCAAAAGCGCAAGTCACTAGGTCCTTACTGTTTGTGATTGGTTCAGAGATGATCGAACACGTACTGAAACATGAAAAACACCATGACGGTGCTCTTTTGACGCTGTCTGATTGTCCCATCAGCATATAGCATCGGCTGCACCTGGGTCTAAGGCGAGAAAGAATAGTGAGGAACATTTTAGATGAATGCTAAGATACAACGCACCAAACATGCCACCAACACGCAGAATTTACGACGACTGGCGGTTATTAAATTATTTTCCA